TATCTTGTGTAGATACCAGAATATCACAATCCACACGCTGAAGAACAAAGGAGGAGGAATTCATCGATGATACCCCTGTTGGTGAAAAGAAGGGTACTATTTTTGTCACGTTCTTCAATAAAATTATCCTTAATTATTTCCCTTAGATACATTGACGCGTAAATTGTAAAACATAATCTCTCATTGTCAATAGATATGTCCAAACCTATGGCTTCATCTTATAATCCTAAAGCTGTTGAGTCCGCTTGGTACGCATGGTGGGAAAAACAAGGCTTTTTCAAACCAGAATTTGCCGCGGATGGTAAACCAAAGTCAGAAGGACTATTCGTGATTCCTGCTCCTCCACCAAATGTAACAGGCTCCCTTCATATTGGTCATGGCTTAACTGTTGCTATTCAAGATACTTTGATAAGATGGTATTTAATAACTTAAACGTTAAGTGATTATCAAATTAGTATTGAAATTTTATGGTCATTAATTTTTCAGGAACAGAATGTTGGGCAAAACTGTATTATTTAACCCTGGTATAGATCATGCTGGAATTTCAACCCAATCAGTTGTAGAAAAGAAACTTTGGTCAGAAAATCAACAAACTCGCCATGATTTGGGTCGCGAAAAATTCATTGAAGAAGTTTGGAAATGGAAAAATTTGTATGTTTCATTGATCATGGTTTATTTTCAAACTTTTCAATACTAATTAACTGTTGTTATATAAAGGTACGGTGACAGAATTCATAATCAATTGAAACGTTTAGGTGGTTCATATGATTGGGACCGCTCTGTTTTTACTATGGACAAAGTATAATATTTAAAACTCAAGCATTGACGTGTGTATTTCTGATTCATATTTTGGTTTATATATATTTATTTTATAATTGTTCAGAAATTATCCAATGCTGTTACGGAAACTTTTTGTCGTTTACAAGAAGAAGGAATAATTTATAGGGCAACTCGATTGATTAATTGGTGTGTTAGATTAAACACCGCTTTATCAAATCTTGAAGTTGAGAATAAGGAATTAACAGGACGTACACTCGTAACAGTACCTGGATATGATGAAAAAGTAGAATTTGGTGTTCTGACATCATTTGGATACCCAATTGAAAATTCTGGTCATTTTTATAATCTTATTCTCGCTGTTTACCTATTTGTTTTGTACTTGCCTTAAATTATATATGTTTTTAAATCGATTTAGACGAAAAAATAATTGTTGCCACAACTCGACCGGAAACGATGTTGGGTGATACTGCGGTAGCTATTCATCCTCAAGACGAACGATACAAGGTTGGTTTTAATACTCACATACCCGAATTCGACACAGTTATAATACGTTTTCTTATGTAAATTCCATTTTCAATAAGCATCTTCATGGAAAATTTGTAATCCATCCCTTTAATGGCCGTAGGATACCCATCGTTCTTGATGATATTGCTGTAGATATGTCCTTTGGAACGGGTGCAGTAAAAATAACTCCTGCACATGACTTTAATGATTATGAAGTTGGGAAAAGACATAATCTAGAGTTTATCAATATTTTTAATGATGACGGCACCCTTAACGAAAATGCTAGCCAATTTCAAGTAGGTCGAGCTATAGTAATATTTCATGTTTATAATTATTTATTACTAAAAAATCATATGTTTTATAGGGCATGAAACGATTTCATGCTCGTAACTCCGTTGTAGATGCCCTTAAAGAGAAAGGCTTATTTATTGGAACACAAGAAAATCCTATGACTATTCCTCTTTGCGCGTAGATATTCTATTCCCTTTTCTAATAATTTTAATTTGGTATTCGTTATATAATAATTTTTGTATTACTTTAAGTAAATCTGGAGATGTAATAGAGCCCATTTTGAAACCTCAATGGTGGGTTAGTTGTACGGATATGGCACGCGAGGCGATGAAGGTTTGTAATTAAATTGGATGTGATAATAAAAATGTTAATACAGATGATTAATAATACCTTTAGGTTGTTACAGATGAAAAACTTCGTATTTACCCAAAAACTTCTGAAAAAGATTGGTTCAGATGGCTTGGATCTATTCAAGATTGGTGTATATCTCGTCAACTTTGGTGGGGACATAGAGTCCCTGCTTATTTCATTAAGATAACAAACAAAATTCAGGACGTAAGTAAAAATATCCTTTTTAATATAATAAGTAAACTTATTTTTATGTTAACTAATTATCATTATAGTCATCAGATGGTACATATTGGGTATCTGGTCATAATATTGATGAGGCAAATGAAAAAGCCAAGAAAAAATTTCCAAACGTTGAATTTACTTTGGAACAAGATCCAGATGTTTTAGATACGTGGTTTTCATCAGGACTGTGGCCGTTTTCGATCTTTGGTTGGCCTGAAATGGTAGTTTTATGAAATCTCTCGTTATAATCAAATGTCTTCACAAAATTAACCTAACATCAGAATTTTGCATTCTTTGATTTAGACTGATGACTTAGCTAGTTTCTATCCGACATCACTATTAGAAACTGGTTGGGACATTTTATTTTTCTGGGTAGCTCGAATGGTTATGTTAGGAATTAAGCTTACTGGGCAAGCCCCGTTTAGTGAAGTTTTTTGTCATGCAATGATTCGTGATGCGCATGGGCGTAAAATGAGTAAATCCTTGGGTAATGTAATAGATCCAGTAGATGTGATTCAAGGTATATCCTTGGAAAGTTTACATGCCAAACTATATGAGGGAAACCTCGATAAGCGTGAAATTGAAAAGGCTAAGGCTGGTCAGAAAGCGGACTATCCAAATGGTATTCCTGAATGCGGTACAGACGCTTTACGGTTTGCATTGTGCGCCTACACTTCAACCGGTATTTGTTTTTCGTTTTTATTACTTTTTTATTTAATTCTGACAGAATACGTTCTCAAAATTTAAAAAAAAAAAATTTGTTCTTCAGGTCGGGATATTAATCTCGATATTCTCCGTGTGGAAGGATATCGTAAATTCTGTAACAAATTATGGAATGCTACTCGATTTGCTTTGATGAAGTTGGGAACTGACTTTAAACCAAGGCCCGACGCAAATGTAAGCTATACGTTCTATATAATTGAAGATTTTTAGAATTAATATCTAATTTATCAATAAATTTTACATAGGTAACTGGAAAAGAATCACTTGCTGAGCTTTGGACGTTACATAAACTTAACCAATCTATTATAGACACAAACAAAGCTCTTCATGAAAGAAATTTTATGAATGCTACAACAGCTGTATATAGCTTTTGGCTATATGTGCTATGTGATGTCTACATTGTAATGTAATTTTTGTAATTAGAAATACTTTAGCTTGGACAAATATTAATTTATTTGCAATCAAACATTAGGAACTGATAAAACCACTGACAGCAGATGATTCAATATCATCAAATGCCGAATGTAAACGTTCCGCTGAAGATACATTATACACTTGTTTGGAGGCTGGTCTCAAATTGCTTCATCCATTTATGCCTTTTGTAACAGAAGAATTATATCAACGATTACCTCGACGTCCGGGTGATGATAATCCAACAATCGTCAAAGCAAAATATCCGCTTGAGGTATTTTTATATTTGTAGGAAACTATTCACTTACGTATATAAATATATATTAAAAACAGTATCTTGTGTAGATACCAGAATATCACAATCCACACGCTGAAGAACAATTTGATCTTGTATTTTCTGTTGTCAAAGCTGCTCGATCCCTTATTGTTGAATATAATATTCAATCAAACGCATCGCGTAAGTTTACCACATTTATATTGTCCTTTTTTTTTTTTTTTTGAAAAAATTCTTACAATCTTTCTTTATTTGTAGTTTTTATACAAGTCGCTTCCGATTCACTCATAACATTGTTTACTGCCCAAGAGCAAAGCATTGTCACTTTGACTAAAGGAGCAAAATCTGTCCATGTTTTTCAACATGGTGAAACTATTCCTGCTGGTTGTGCTTTAAGCACAGTCACTGATGAAATAAATGTATTGCTTATGATTAAGGTACTCTTAATATTAAGTTAGTAATTTACTATTCTCAATTAAATTTCTAATGGTAAGATGTAATTGTAGGGATTCGTAAATATCGACGCGGAGGTTACAAAATTCCAAAGTAAACTTAATAAAACAACTCAAGTATTAACAACGCTACAGAAAAAAATACAAATCCCAGATTACGAGTCTAAAGTCCCAATAGATGTCCGTGATGCTAATGAAGCCAAGGCAAGAGCAGTTAATGATTTGTCAACATCTTATACCGGTTTAATTAATGAGGCATTTTTTTTTATAGCTCAAGGCCTACCAAGCTGAAATTGAAGCATTAAACCATAGTATTCAAAACTTTTTGAAATTGAAAGGTTAGTTCAGACATTAGATAAAATTAGCTTATTCAACTCTGCTTACGGCTTACGTTAGTCAAACTGAATTGATTCTTTAATCTACAGACTAAATTCGAACTATTTATCAGTTATGTATAAATTAAGCTAGGGATGTTAATAGTTGGTCCAGTTTAATTCAATCTTATAAATCAAATTAAAATTGAACCGAATATAAAAAAAAACTAAATTAAGTTAGGATTAAATATAAAAAAATTAAACTAAACTAGAATTAATTATAAAAAAATTAAATTAGGCTAGAACCAATATAAAAATAATCAAGTTGGATTAAAAATTGGACTTGTTTAACTAGTTTGATTTTTTATGTATTCTAAACAATCACAGACTAGGAATGGTTTGTAATAATACTTAATCTCTAATCAAAAAAGCAGCAGAACCTCTAAAATATGCTATGAACATATTAAATATGCTAGTTCTTTAGCACAAAATATCTTCAAATCTTTTATTAACAAATATCTACAATTACAAAAAATTTCAATATTATGAAAATCTTCCAACATCTTTCTTATTTCAAAAAAGTCTAATTGGGACTTCACACTTAATCAAGTTTGGTCTATTTTTATCATTAAACCTTTTAAAAAAACCTTTATCAAAATCCTTATAAATTGTTTAAATAAAATAATCTTATCAAATAATCATCTTTTTAATTTAAACTTTGCAACCAAAACTTTAATATCTTGAAATCAATGGCAGCATCTAAAAATTCTTCTACATATATTCCAATTCAAATTCTATATAATACTATTAAATATTATATTTCTTATAACAAAAAGGCATAGATATTATTTCAGAATATATCTAAAACCTTTAACAAAATTAATATTCAATATTTACAAAATACTTGTTATAGAATTGGTATTTCTATTGCTAGAATTAATCTAATAACTAAACTATACACTTCCTATTTGGTCAGAATTATAATAGCTTATAGTTTAATTTTACTAATTCAAATTAAATCTAGTATTGAACAAGAAGAAACTTATTCTTTTCTTCTATATATAATTCTATTTTTATCTATATTTTGCAAAAATATAATAACTAATTCTTTAAAATTTTTTTTTTGTTTCTACTCAAAACAATTTCAAATATACTTTTAACTATAATTACAATTCCACTACTAGTATATATAGATAATATAGTATAGTACTGTGAATATTTTAAGACCTTACAAAACATATTTAATGATATTTTTGCTTTATACAAACTTAATAATATCAAAGTCAATCTAACTAAATCTGATTTACTTTATATTTCTCTCAAAAACTTCAAAACATCAAACTATATATTTTTTTATAACAATTAAATAATTATCTCTAGAGGAAACTTTAACTAAATACAACCAAGTTTGTATAACAAATCAAGTTACCAATCTAGAAAGTAAAGATGATTATACTCAAATGAAATACACTCCAATACAAATAGTTAAAGTAAAAAGTGAAAATAGTAATATAATAGAATATAAATTAAAAATATTTTACATAAGAGAACTTATACAAAGCCAAAAGATAATAGCCACAATATAGAAGATATAGCAGATATGCTTTTACACAAAGTGAGTGTGGGATAGTAGATTATGGGCTTAATAAACAAATTACAAAAGGATTATACAACCAAACCAAGATAGTAACAAAGAGAAATAACAAAAAGCCCAAACAACTTATAACTTAGTATGAGCACCAAAAGATAATTTTATATTATAACAGAATGCAAATAGTTTACAGTACTTCTCTACACTGTGGAACTTACCCAAAAAAATAAATGCAGGAGAGATTAAAAAGTATCTTAATTACTTTGGAGCAGTGACTATTCTTGCCTAGCAGCAAAACTTTAAAACCAAAGTAGCATATATCAAAATAATAACAAATGTTGAAAAGAAAGAAAACTTATTAAAAGATAACTAGTCTATTCATCTAAATTAAAGCAAAACATATAGAACAATCCCAGAGAAATTTAATACTACCAAGTTAAAAAAAAGAAATAGATTCAAGTATACAATTCATAATCTGTCAACAATGGCTTTTAATAGTTTACTACTATAATAACTTAAAAAATACAAGTTTTGAGCAGTGCATATTCCAAATAATCACAATGAAAACCAGAGTAAAAGAGCTTACATTTACTTTAAATCAAAAAAGGATCTATTCTAAATACAGAAATACAACCTGTTTTATTACAACACTAAGTTAGAGTGATAGCCCTTTGTAGAAACTACAGATTATAGAGATTTCGCTAATACTCAAATTTATAATAAGAGACTGCTAAAGAAGATAGAAACATGCAAATCACAAAGACCTAATAAAAAGCAAAAATATCAGAATATTAATAATTGCTAAATTAGTTACCAAGATAATAGCAAAGAAAACATATATAGATCTAATCATTTAGATTACAATTTAGAGAAAGATTCTTAGGCAAAAATCTATCTAATAACTTAGAAAGTAGTAGTAAAAGAAAAGTAAATAAATTAAAAGAAAAGGAAAATATCGAACCTCAAGAACACATAGAAATAGATGATAAAATTAAATTAATGCTTAGCTAGATTATAAATAGACTTAGCAATTTAGAAAACCAAACAAGTGATTAAAGAGATAAAGTGGCTAATTGCTTCTAAGAGTGCTCTAGTTAAATCAAAAAAAAAAGTGAGATAGAAAAAATATTAATATTGTACAAGATAAAGTATATAGTGGATTATTAGATAGAGTAGAGAGTACATCCTATAATTTAAATAATAGAGTAATAAATACAAATAAAAGAAAAAATAATTCAAAATTAGACAATGGGGTATTAAAGATAGCATGTCATAATATTAACGGATTGAAAATAAACTAACAAAAGCTCAAATTATTAGAATACTAGATAGAAGAGGGGGATATAAGTATAATTGAATTAATAGAAACCAACATTAGAAAGAAGGAGAGTTCTTTTTTAAGTAAAAACTGAAGCAACTTTAGATTTCTTTAGTCAAAGGTAGCAAATGATAAAAAAAAAGAATTAGAAGTAGCAATAGATATTTGAAGCAATTGGGAAAAACACCTAGGCAGTATAAAAATAAATTAAGAATATATATTAGTAGCTAAATTCTATTTCAAGAATATGAGGAGGTGCTAGTAGAAACCAAGCAAATTGTTTCTAAGTAAACTTTTTTAAAACTTTAAAATAAAATATCTCAACAACCATCAAACCAAACTTGATAAATTTTTTTTTATTTTAATTTTATATAGTTATA